TTGGATCTGTCCTGGTGTCAGAACACCAAATGTGAGCTGGTTCTGGCAAAGTTTGGATTGCCAACCAGGCAATGGGGCCATCTGGACCAGGTTCACTTTGTGACATTTGGTTTTTGGTCATTGGATTACTTGTTCAAACATACAATATCAAAGAGGTGTCGCATTATTTTGTCATCTTCTAGAGGGGTCCTGTGTCAAAATGTGGTATTCAAAACCTGAAAATGTTTAGTTTATGCTGTGATCAAATGGTGGATAACATTAAATAAAAGTTTTGTTCCATCAAATCACCCCAAACAACCTGGGGCCAGGTATTATTTTAGTGTAGTAGTTCAGGTTGGATTCTGTGTCTCTGGGCAAAATATAAAGAAGGTGCCATCTGTAGTGTGCTATATGTACTGTACTTGATGGTAAGAGGCCCAACAAACAGGTTTATCCAGTCACAATTCGAGACAAATAGAGTGCTGCAGGAATAAGTCCTAAAAACTGCAAATGACTGAATGGGAATGTTTTTAAGCTTTTACATGTCTTTAAAAAGACAAAGTGGCAAAATTAAACTAAAAAGTTTGTCGGGGTTGTTACGCAAAATAATACAAGTTGTAAGTGTAGTGGCGGTGATGTAAAGTCATGCGACCTTGGTGCCCAACTTAAGCTTTTACTTCTGACAATTGATTTGTGAAAACGATCTTGCTGAACAAAACATGTAAGTATCATCAACATTTGTTTGCCGCAGGAGGGAGCCAGTGCGACGCTATAGCTTCTGTGGCACACAAATCTGTGATCAGCACTCTGATTTGGCCAAAATATAGAGTTGCTGACTTGACCCAGTCAGCTATATTGACGATAGGTGTGGGCCTGTGTCGACACTCTGTATTGCAGATTCATTCATACAGATTTTACGGCATGTGCCGAGCATATTTGCCTACCTGGAGTAGCTTTACAGTTGCCAACTGCGTCCTTGTTAGCTTCAAAATGGTGGACAGGTTTCCATCCTCTGCTGAGTTTTGGAAACACAGTGTAGAGGCCTCTTGCATTATGTCAGTTACAGACTCTAAGGACAAGACATAAAAATGGTTTTATCTTACATGCATTTTTTTTTACAATATCATAAGATAAAATAATGGACTTGTGATAAGGCATTTACTCTGTAGATATGTGCCACGGAAAACTCACAAATACTCCTTTTCGACAGTGGTTTTCCTTTTCACCAAATTGAAATTCCTAAACCTGCACAAAACCCAGATCATGGGCAACACTGTGTATACAGGTCGTAAAATCTTGTGTTGACTCATGACAGGAAAACAGAGGTTTCACTAGTTGCTTTGATGTGAAAGGGACGCCGCATGTGATGGAAGGAAGGTTGGAGAGAAAGAGGAAGAGGGGGCAATAGGTGGGGGTGAGGTTAGTGAAGGGCGCTCCGCGAGACAGAATGATGAAAGGACTCTTCGAAGGACAGATGGGAATGAGATTCCCGAATCAATACCATCCAAGGGTGTTTTATTATTAACGCATACAGCGAGGAGCCCACGTTCGATGACTGCTCACCTGACTGCTCAGGCCCAAGACCCCTCACATACACACACACACACACATTCCCCCTTTTGCCTGTGCTTTCATCTCCCTTCTACCACTTCCACACACTTTGTGACATTTTATGTGACAGTGGGAACCATCACAGTTCTCAAAACCTTTAGCTCACAGTGGGAAACTGGCAAGCACCCCAGACTCCTACGGGCCCTAAACGCCTCAGGGTCATTTGTCACATTGTACCGCTTTGTACCAAATAACAAGACATTTTGTTTTGAGAATGCACCATTTAATCACAATACCGGCTATCTTAAAATAACAGCGGATGTTAGTGTAGATGAGTTCAACTCCTGTCTATGGCAACAGTTTGTATTTATTTGAACACTGGTAGCTTTATTATTGAGACGGTGCTGCTGTTGGTGAGCCAGCAAAGCTGTAAAATGTGCATACTGTAGCCCAACAAGAATTTATTTATTTATCTATTTAGTTTATTCGTTTATCTTTTTTACTGCGAGTTTCCTGGTGAAGCCTCTGAATTCAGAGCAGAATGTGCACAATTGTTTTTCTCTCAAGTTGGTTTGTTTTGCCATTATCTATTTGTTATTCTGACAGTAAACCAAACAGTGGCTCCGAAAATGAAAATGGGTTTTATGTATGGAGTAATAACCTAAATGGATTTCTCCCCCCCACACACACACACACTCTGGGAGCCTGTAGCCATTCATCTGCCAGTGTCTAATTATTCATTAGTGAACACAGAGAATAGAGGAATGGAAAACATAGTTGTGTATTCACTGTAGTAGATCAGCATTGCAAAACGGACTCTCACGCCTCCTTCTCTCAGTCTTTCTCACACTCTGGGGCCGCAGGGGTCAAAGGTCTAACATCAGTCATATCAGCACTGTGATACAAATGACTAAACAACAAACACACTTAATGCCAACCACAGTGTTTACCTTCAGGTGCTGCTGTCTGCTGTTGTTTGGATCACACAATAAGTGTAACTGATCAAAAGACACAAATACCGTTGAATCGGTGTTAATCAGGCAACAACGAGGCTAATCCTGTTCAGGTTTGGCAGAAGGGCTGCAATACTCTTTCTCAGTGCTTTGCACACAAGTGGCCAGCAGAGGACACTGTATGTTCTGGAGCACGCAAATCAAAATAGCACCTGATGTGTGTAATGTATGTTTACACGCACACAAAAATAAAACTATAGGTCCTGTTTATCAAGCATTTGTTAATAAATGTAACTGAATCAAACACATGAAAACTGTGGGTGTGTTTAAAACAAAATGCATACCCTGTACAGATGATGGTTCCGAGTGGGAATAAAGATTTTGTTTAAAACTCCACACTTCACAGCAATCCTTCATTAATACATGCAGCTCTATGGCCCCACTGTACATTGGGTCTTACAGATGTCTGTCATGTACAATACTGTATTCTATAGCAGCACTATAAGCCATTTGCTAGGCAAGACTGTCACCTAGTGGTGCTGTCTGTGTCACACACAACTGCCTCAATATGAAGCGAGTGAACATCCTCCACATAAGCAACCTCAACAGTATTGGTGGTGATCATTTAATTTGAAATGATGGCTGTTCTGCTGGATGTCCAGCCAAACTGTCTTTCCACATTTTTCTCTTCTGTCATTTACATTCATCTATGATGTGCAAATGTTTTTACTGCTCCTATATGCACCCAGAACTTTACATCACTAGTGACATAAGTTGATTAGACATGAGTGAAACACATGAGTTTATAGGATGTAATATTAAAGATCTTTTAACTCCAATATCTCGTAAAAATGATGTTGCATGACTGAGGTGTGTTTGACTGGCCCCGCTAGGAAATATACACTGCATGCATGTATGTTCACTATAGATCTCTGAGTGTTCAGGGTAATTGACAGGATGCGAGTTATTAGTATAAAGATTTGTTTTTTTTAAGAAATAATTTATAATAACAATCAATGTTTCCGTGGCAGTAAGCAGCAAACTTGTAATTTTGCTGTTTGGTGTATTGTGGGCTCTCCTGCAGGTTTATATGCTTCAGCTCTGCTGCCGCACACCTGATTCAGATCAGGGCCGCACGCGCTTTCTGCTCACCTTGTTCAGGCATTGCTAATTCTACCGCTCAACCAATCAGCGTTAGGCGCTGGAACGCAATAGTAGTTGGACAAACTCCTTGGTACTGACATTGGTTGACCTGCAGGTGGCGCCACTGCTCTTTGGAAATGGGGAGCTTTCTGTGGCGGAGGTAAACTTGATGTCATCTCTATACCAATATAACCAGCGGCATAAAATATGACGTCCAGTGGGACATCGTTATTTACAGAATAATGTTATTTAGACATTTTATTGGGGGGAGGATTCATAGAGGATTTGTAGGTTTCACCAAAACATGTTTAGGTCGGTTAAAACCCTGTAATGGTAAGGTCCAATTATGTCCATATGATACACTTATGCACGTTTCAACGTTTTAGATTTGGTCATGTGAAAATAAATAAAGCATTACTTCTAAACGAAAAATGCGTCTGGTTTGAATTCATTCACCAGTGTGTCTTATACTGAAATGAATGAGCTCAAATTTTACTTACTCACTTTTTTACTTGTTTTTGGATTGTCACTGAACTATATTGGATTTGTTTTGTACAATCAACTACTTTATAATTAGGGGTTTATCTGATCTAATAATGAATACGTCGTGATAACATTTTTCTTTTTTTTAATGGACAGCCCAGAAACCAAAAAGGCCCCTGCTGAAACTGGTCCGTCATAAAAAGTCAATATTTCACTACACACAGCCACTCTTGTCAACGTTTATTTACAATCGCTATAATATGTATGAAACATCAGGTTACGATGCCAAGGAAGAGATTTTAAAAAAATCGACTCTGCAGTGAACAGATCTTTTATTAAAAAGATGTGACAAAACAAAACGCACTTTATGAAATGCGTGCAATGTGTTGTACTCAGGTTTAAGTCATCCGTGTGCTGTTGACACTGTGTTACAAAAACTTCATAATATATCAGCATGATATTTTTGTTTGTCTACTTGACTTGAGATTCTGTAGAATGCAGATTGTTTCTATTGTATTTATTTAGCAAGAACAGACAATACTCCAGTCAGTAAAAAAAAAAAATGCATGCGTAATTTTGGTGAAAAGATACAGCCTGTCTGTCTCAAAATTGTTTTATTATCTGAACCGCTACCTGTTTTCCCATGATTTATACACACCTGCCAGCAGGCCTTTGTGGATTTACTGTTCTAATGTTTTGATGTTTGGTTGCAGAAACAGGTTTTACCCACCAGAGGCCAAAACACTGACACATTTGGAAGGTTTTCAGTTTGTGCATCGAGGCCGTAACAACACGCCTTGTTCTTGATGCTCCCTTCACAAATGAAAATGTGTAACACGTGTTTGATCTCAACACAAAATGATGATACTTTTCCACTTTCTTTAAAATAACATTTATTTCCAGCATATTCATACAATGTGACAGCACAGCTTGTAACATTTGAAGATGAACTGACTTGATCCAGCACTTTGTCACAAAATATTAGAGCCGACTAAAGGATAAATGAAAAGTCAAAACGTAGCAGAGCGTTCCATATTACCAAATGCGATATATAATACAGGCAGTTGGAAATGAGCTAAAGAAACATGTGAGATAAGTGAAATAATACATAAGAATAAAAAGGGATGGCATTTACACATCATTAGTTCAACTTGTACATCAGGAAATGGGGTTAATATCTGTATAATCTACATGTTATATTTAACTTAATTTTGCTTTATTTATTATTTCATACGTGTGTGAGAGAAATGCTTATTTGAAGTTTTATTTAGAATCTCATGTGCACTTAAGTTTCACCAACCAGCTGAAAGAAATGAAAAAAAAACGGATAAATCATGTCATTGTGTCTTCATTTTATTTTATATCCTGCTGCAGAATTGAGATAAAAATCAGTAATAACAGCATGTGTAGCTATATATTCTAGCCTTTTGTGCAACTGGGTTTACTTTTTTAAACTTTCCTTTATTGTGGATGTATTTTGGAATCTATAAATATCTTTTCAGCTTCCGGTTATTTTATTGATCGGGTTCATGAATGTCATCCAATCTTTCTTAGACAAACATATAAAATTATTTTTTGAAAATTACACATAAGTGAGTTTATTTTTTTATTTTTTTTTACCTCTCGGAACTTTTAACTACAAGCCAGACAATCCTATTATTTACAGTAGCCTGCAGCCAAAACACATCACAGATTGTCGCCAAAACATTCAACACTTGTGGCTACAAATACAATGCAATGTGTCCGTTTGGTCAGTCCAGCAGCCTCACGGTTTTTCCGGCGTGTTGTTGACCAAAGGCCCGTACATGCCGCTGGAATAGCCTTGCTCCTTGTGTAACATTGTCCTGTCCCTTATCAGGTCGCTAAAGGCATATTCCATCGGGGGTCTGAAGCCCAGGGTGGGCATCAACCCGGTGGTGGAGTAAGGCGTCATGAAGGCCAGTCCCCGGCTGTGCGCAGAGTAGGCCAGCCGCAGCGGGTTCAGTCCCAGGTGGGTGCCCAGAGGATAGGTGCTGGGGTCGGCGAAGTGCGGGGAGTTTGGCTGGAGGGGAGAGAACGCAGAGCGGTTGCTGAGCGTCATGGCTCCGGGCAACATGGGCCTCGTCGGGGCGATCGTGGATGCGGAGGACGGGGGAGGCTGGTGCGCGTTTTGGAGCACCCCCTCGGCCGTCCATGTCTCACCTGCCCCGGCCTTGTTGGAGCCCTGCGCGCCGCTGTTGTTGAGGATCTGCTCAATGGCCTGCACCACGTCCTTACCGCAGCCCTGCAGGACGAGCTCCAGGACGCTACGCTTGTGGCTCGGGAACACTCGGGTCAGGATGTCGATGGCGTTCATGTGCCGGGAGGCCGCAGAGGACGGGGACGGATCCTGCTCATCCTTGTCGGTCTCAGAGCCAGAATCAGAGCCGAGGGAGCTGACGGACCGAGGAGTTTCCCCTCCGTCTTTTAAAGGCTTGGACACCGGTGAGCTTATGAAAGACTCGCTGTCTCCGTTCTCTGAACCAGAGCCTCCATGTCGACCGTCCGGGGAAGAGATGCCCGGGGCCGAGTCACTTTCGGTGGACGCCGGTTTCCCCACGTTCTGCTGAGAAGTGGCGGATGCGGACAGCTGGCTCTTTGGAAACAGCTCGTACTTCTGGATACTTGAATCTGTTGACACATTCAGAACACCACAGTGGGTAAGATGGGGGGCAACATGTCAACATTACAGTAGGCCGAGTTAACTCGATAGAGAGTCAAATCCTGTGAATTAATCAGCAACAGAAAAAGTCAGGAAATAAAAACACCTATTAAACATTAGGATTCAGTACAAACAGCACCGGGTCAGTCAACATAAAAAACACGAAGGCACACATTTGATTGCCAAACAAAAAATCACTATCGTCTCATCAGGTGTCTTGGCATCCATATAGCTCAATAAAATAGACTATACCAGTTTCATATAAATGGACGGAATAATCAACAATATTGAGGCGTTTGTGTTACTTGAGAGCCAATTTTAACTTATTTGCCCTTGTCTTTTGCCAGTGGCATAACTGACGCCTGTAGGTTTTTTACACTTCTCCTGCTCAAAGAAAAATAATAACGACGAAGACCTGCGCTTCTTATTCTCAATGCTTCCGGCTGCTCCACTCACCTGAGTTAATGTCGCTGTTGACACAGGTAAACACCTCGTAGCTTGGACGCGGTGGGATGATGCCGTTGGCGGCGGCCAGTGCGAGTCCCTCCGCCGTGCCGTAGAGCAGCTGCAGCTCTCGCGCCTCGTTCTCCTCCTGCGCCTGCTGCCGCCGCAGCGCCACTTGTGCCGCCATCACCCGCTGCCTCTCGGCGATCAGAGTGCACTTGGCGCACATACAGTCCTTCCAGCGGCAGTAGCGCTTGTGGCCCTTCAGCGCGGACACCACTCCGTGGTTCCTGCAGCGGGCACACTTCGGGGTGCGCGGGTACTTGTCCGTGGCGCGCAGGATGAGCTGAGGGCCGCGCATTAGGGTCCCGGTCATGGACATCGGGATGGAGGCTATCGCTGCTGCTGCAGCCGAGTGGACTTGAGAGGCAGAGGAGACTGTGGGGAGCTCCTGTCTCAGATCCATGCCCTTTGTTCCTCACTGATGTAACTGAACGAACAAGAAAACGTCTTTCCTCTGAACGATCTGTTTTAGTTATACTAGTTGTGAGCCGTTCACATCTGCTCAGCGGGTCATCTCTGGGCAAATGGTAAAGTCAACGATGTCGCTCTGCTGAGGATACTATCGTGCAAAAAAAAGCTATGATCGAAACTCTAATGTAAACTGTGCATGGAGCAGAAGATGCAAAAATACTAAGATACTGTCGAGTTTAAATCCGAAAAGTGCAGGAGCCGAGAGGAGCGACCATTCCTCCCCAGTAGAAAGTTTAAACTGTCCAGGAGGAGTCGAGGTTGCTACTCGCCGCAGCCTGAGACACTAACTTCCTCCAGAGATCGTCAGTGGATACAGATCCCTCTCTCCCCTCTCTATTGTTGCTCCTACGTTTTCATTAGACAAATTTGACAACAATGTGGCGTCTGTCATTGGCCAAAGGAGGAAGGAGCAATCTGATTGGCTTGCCTCTTTTTTTCAACTGTGTCCACCTGGCTTCTTATTCCAAATATCAAGTGTTAAGAATCTGAAGGGAGTTCCCGGAAAGCTAAAATCGATGCTGTGTATTTCCAAAAAATATTTTTATAGATTCAAAACAATAGCATCTATTATTTCATTTATTCAGCTTTATAATGGGCCATATGCTGCCAAACAGGACACTATAAACATAAATCATAGCCCTGCAATGAGGGGAAATGCTCATCCCTTCCAACCACTTTCTGTTGATTTCTCAAGAAATATTCTGTATCATTTGACGACATGATTGTTAGAGAAATCTCGAGTGTTATTACAATTACAGACAGGAATAATAGTCCTCAAAATAAAGATGATGCGTGACTGTAATCTCGTCAACCTGGAAGGTAAGTATCATTTATTTTGTTGATTCACGAGAAGGCGAAATTTGATATGTCAGAAAAAGTCTATATTTGAAGAGGGTTATTGACTGCAGACAGTGAAGCTATTGGTTAACTTGCACGGTTCACTCGGCTGCAGGAAAAGTGCGGAGTGTTTAACCCTGTCCAAATTATAACCTCGTCTAGTGGCCGCTACTAGCCTTCATTTAATGAAATCAATTTGAAATTTTAATTGATATATTTGTTTCATGAAGTTTATTGATGAAGAAAAACTAAATCTGCTTCGTTTGACATATCATTTTGAATGTATAGCCTATCGGGCTCTATAATATTTGGACATATTATTTTGAGATAGCCTAAATCAAACCTTTGCCTTTGTATGGAGTCATTGATGAAATCAGCATCAAACCACAGGTGTGTCGTTATTTCGTTTCCCAAATGCAACGTGACAATGTCTCAGTTGAAACTAATCCATAATAACGATTATACGCGTATATACGATGACAAGAAATTTTACAAACAAAAAAATGTATTTTATCTAATTTTTCGATTTCCTTCTAATCACTCTGCCGTGGGCCGTGTGCACAATAAAACACTTACTTTTATCAAATTAGTTTGCTTCGATTTTGCGCATGATTGTACACGTGCTAATATTTAATTAATTACAGAAATAAAAACCTAAAAAAAAAAAAATCACATTTAATTTACAGGCAGATTCCTCGAAATAATTGGTTGTTATTTTAGTGAGATTATAATCGATGGGCCGACTATATTTTCTAAGCTTAACTTGTATCCTTATTTATTCTCAGCTAAACAAAAGCAACACCACACAGCCCAACAATTCAAATTAGGAATTGAAATATATTATTGTAATAATAATAATAATAATATTGTTATTATTATTATTGTTAATAGTATTAGTGTTATTGTTGTCATTATTATTACCAACAAAAATACGAAAGTCTATAGGTAATAATGAATTACTCTTCTCTGACAAAATAAAATATATATGTTTTAAAGTATCCTCCCTCTTTTTATTATTAAAAAAATAACTGGATCTGCAAATGATTTCCCTCTGCCTTCATGAAACTCGACAGAATAAGCTTTTTTCACGGGCTGGTGTGTGTGTGTCCCCCCCCCCCCCCATCCCTTCCCATTAAGTGACGAACGATAATACTGTAATGCTTCCGGAGATTTGAGAAGTCCACGACGCGCAGAGCTACAAAAGGGCAACTCCGCGGAAACCACCTGCTTCCTCACCTGTTCACTTAGGAGAAAACGTATGCAGGTATTTGAATTCAGATTAAAAAGTTATAGATGTTTTTTTCCTTCTTTTTTTTTTTTTTTTTTTAAATCAACAATTGTCAGTCCCTTTGAGGATGATAACAACAGTCTTAGTGGAGAACAACAACTTGAAAGCGGATGAAGAAAGAAATGGCTGCTCGGTGATGAGCAGCAGCAGCAGCAGCAGCAGCAGCAGCAGCATCGAGTGTGTGCAGCCCTGCCTCTCTCCCCTCCCAGGCTCATTGTTTACTTTCTGAATCACTGTAAGCAAATGCCATCTGTTTCCCTCGCCGCTGTCATCTGCACCTTAATTACCTAGCCAACAGGCTAATAGAGACGATATTAAAACTACATCTTTTGACATTCAAAGTAATTATCTGCATCTCACTCGCATGAGATGCGAATCACCTGTCCTGCGTGGTAACGTGATAGTAGCGAACTGCAGAGAAGGCCCGGCGCTCATTGGAGAGATAACAGCTTATAGGCTTAAGACGAATAATATAAAAATATATAGCAGCCTGCTCTTCTCATTAGTCTGACTGCTCAGGGTGTTACCGGCCGAGTAAGAACTAGAGAACAGTTAAAGACGACTGACTGCAAGTTCCTGAAACTTGAGATTTATCATCAAATGTCGATTGTTAATAAGAGTGGATTTGAAGTGACAATCGGGCTGCTTGGTTCTAACAGGTGTTAATTGAGCCATATGTGTCCGTAGAGCACTATCGGGGCTCTGTGTTAAATATGATCACACGTGAATTCATCCTGAAGTGTGTAGACAGATGATGGTTATCACTGATTCCATACAAACTTTGCTGCTTTCGGGCTGTTAATCGTTCTAGTTTGGCTGCAGCATAACGGAAAGTTCATTTTGGAGAAATATGCATTATGATAGGGATTATGTTCGCTATTATTCCTCCTGGCCCAATTAAAAATGCCCCCCGCGCAATTAAAAGTGACTGTGAGCACTTAGAAAATCCAACATTCTTTTAACCACTTCATTAGGCCTATGCATAAAAAAAACCGTGCGATGCTTTCATTTCTTTCAGGAAGGCTACAGCCGAGTGGGTTTTTAACACCCTGTTAAGATCACAACAAAGGCCATGCTTGACCCAACATATGTAGCAGCATGTTTCCGCTGCCCCTGCACCCCGGTGCGGCTTTCTAGCGGCCTCTCCCACTACCGCTGCCCCGCCTGGGCCCGGATCCCCTCCCGCGCTCTCTCGCCTGCAGCAGCCGGCTCCGTCCTCTGTCTCACAGAGGCAGAGGTTAGAGTAGCAGTTAGACAAGGGCCCGCGGAGAAAAGAAACGCACGGGGTTTTTCACAGAAGTATTTACACGCTTGACGGGCACACACGGTGAAGGCCCGGGCTTACAGACAAGAGGCTGTTAACCTGCCACTTCACACCAGCTCCACTGCGCCGGGGAAGTGGATCAAGCTAAATGCATTCCTGTGAGGGCAGAGTCAGGGGAGCAGTGGACACATATATAGCACATTGTTGGGGGGGGAGTTTATAACTCTCTTTCCACGCTGTCATACAACAGTGACATAACTTAAAGCTTTACAATAGTGCTGATTTTTAAATTGGGGTATGATGACCCGTATTGTTTTCAATGAGGTCTGTAATTCATTATCAACATTTAAACGAATTTTGGGAGATGTATTCAGGATCCTATTTGAGTACCAGAACATTAACATTCTCCATCAGCATATGTCCTGTATTCAAAATGTAAGTAATAACAAAAGTATCAGCAAAACATCAAGAGTGCGCATTCTGCATATACATTTTGAGATTACATTATTATATATTATATTTCTATATTTTGAACACTATTCATTGTTTCTGGGATGAGATGGAGCTAATTGTGACTACTTGGTTTGATCTGCAACAATCCATCATGTTTTATAAACTCAGCAAAGTAAAAACACCTGCCACAGTGGAGTAAAACAAAGTAGCCTAAAATGGAAATAGTGATGACTTGAGCCTAGTAATTGAGTAAATGTACTTATTCACATCCCACCACTCAAAAGATTCTCCAGAGTGTTTTTATGGCTCTCAGCCGTGCAGAAGTCACAAAGACAAACAGCCATATAAGCTAAATTACAGCAGGATTGGCTAAGGCCATGTGCTGCAAACACTCGAGCTGAAGAGGCAGAGAGAGGTCTCTCAAGCATCACTCTTCACCCGCTAGAATAACACTTATTTGTAAATGGGGGATAACCCCGCCATGGCCTATGAATATTTCAAAGATTTGAAGGGTCGCTCTCTGCCAAAGCTGTTGGCCAGCATTCAGGCAAGCAAACCCCCCGCCCCCTCCTCCTCCTCCTCCTCCTCCTCTCTCTCACACGCACGCACACACACAGAAAAAATACCGTTTTTGTGCCCCCAAGGTAGGTTGGCATGGATTATCTTTGTTTAATGAATGGGCTACAAGTGTTCATCAACAAGGCGAGATTATTGGGCTCACTCGCTCTCCCTTCTGCAAGCCCTATAGTGGCATATAACTCTGGTGTGTGTGTGTGTGTGTGTGTGTGTGTGTGTTAGAGAGAGAGAGAGAAAAAGACAGAGACAGACCTACACACTGCAGCCAATTAAAATGCACTCTCCCCTGCTCTATCCCTCCACATCTGCCTCCTTTTCTCCACCAACGAATGGCGCAGAAAAGAAGGAAGCTCATGAATAGGCGCTCATTGAGATCACAGATGGAGTATGGCTTTCTTTTTGCTAGAAATTTGAGAAACACCATTGTCCCCAATCAAAACTCAATGTGTTCGCCTACAATGGTGCCGGCTTTGAGCTCCGCCGCTTCAATTGGCCTTGTTTTTGAAACTTGAAGTGTTCAGCACAAAGACTTGGCCCTCCTAGATGTCACGACCGCTTCGCTTCAGTGTGTGTGTGTGTGTGTGTGTGTGTGTGTGACTATGTGCGCTCAGAAAAAGAAAAAAAACACAATTAATATGAAGCTGTAATTACTCCCCTTCACGCCACTGCACCCATTCAGGACCCCACTGGCCCATTTATTACTTTATCCCATGTGGCTGATAATCCGAATGCCACAGGTTTTTATAAAACCTCTGCAGCGCGGTGAGGAGACGAATCTGGATGTGCGCGTGAGGAACATATACGTATACGTATATACATCTATATATCTGTAGATGTATAAAGCAACAAGTGTACAGAGGCCGAGGGCTGCAGT